GAAGTTTAAATGTAGGCAGCCAACAAACTTTGGTGTATTCTTTAGAACTAAATGGGGATTCTAAACAACAGTTTGTACTTGGTTTATTACGTGTGATGTATTGTCATCTCTGTGTGTAGAAATCCCAGTAGGTATAGTAGCACTGCCCCTTGAGCCTCCTGCATACAGAGATGGCTGCACAGAGTAAATGCAAAACCTAGCTATGCCGCTGCACTCAGCTATCCAAGGTGCTTTTTCTCGCTTTGCCTTTTCTCTATGCCCTCTCCTTGCTATGTTGCTTGAGCATCTGATGAGAAACTTAAAAGACAGTGCTACAAAAGATCTCACTTAATAACATGATTTGTTGCCAGCATACACAATAGATTTCCCAAGTGGGGAAAGGGAGCAAAAGGGATCTCTGAAATCGCTTCCAACATTTAAATGCCTTCCCAGTTCACTCACTGAGTTGTGTCTTCTCAATTCACATGTGAGTCATTCTATGGTGGTTTTTGCAAGCCACGCTGCTGTGGTGGTGCGGCTTGGCGAAGCCCCGCTCCAAGCCCCGCTGCTGGCACCAGTGTGTTTGCTGACATGAACCACACAAACCCACCTGGAAGGTTCATGGGAAGTTCCTGTGGCTTGTGAAGGTGCAATGGCATAAACTGAGGTTCATGAACCGTGCCCAGTTCATCATGGATTTTGGTTCTTAATTCGGGTTATGCCCATTCCTACTCCAGATCTCTTAACTTTGTAGTAGTGTTTTGAAGTGAAGAAGAAGAGAGATTGGATTTATACCCCACCCTACACTGCCCGAAGGAGTCTCAGAGCAGCTTACAATCCCTTTCCCTTCCACTCCCCACAACAGACACCCTGTGAGGTAGGTGGGACTGAGAGAGCTTTCTTGAGAACTGCCCTTGAGAGAACAGCTCTGAAAGAATTTATGACTGACCCAAGGTCACACCAGCAGCTGCATGTGGAGGAGTGGGGAATCAAACCCGGTTCTCCCAGATTAGAGTCCACACTCCTAATCAGTACACCAACTGGCTCTCCAACTGGCTTTTGGACCCACGCCTGCTTCCCCAGTCTTATGGCTGGTTCACTTTGAAAAGTACTGGGTTCGCCACATGGAGGACTCGGACAACGACATGAGTTTGCACACGTTTATTGTACTTAACACAAGACTAACTAAAACGGCCCTACAAGGCCAACTATATACACACCCACCCAGCACAGCCCTAGTCCATTGGAGGGTTTGACTCTCCCACCAAAGTGGCCATTGGTTGGAGCTGGGGGGAACTAGGATCCTATGTTCCCATTGTTCAGGGGAGCCAAGCTCTGGTCTTGCTGCGGACCCCTAATGGTAGTCCATGTACACAACACTCCTCCCCCCATAGTTCAGACCCTACCTATGTGACATAGTCCTGCAAGTAGGCCGGGGGGCCGGTGCTCATGGAGGGAATGCCTGGGGGCCAGTACTGGTTCACTAACCACTGGTTCCGGTTGACTAGCTGTACCCTGTGGTTGTGGCATCAGCTGCTGATCTGTTGGCTCGGTTACTCCCAGAAGTGTTCCGCTTGGCGTAGCCTCCTCGCTGGTTGGGGTGTCGGCTGGAACGCCCGGTTCCTGAATGGTTGTCTTTGCTCCTGTCGTCCACTGGGGAGGTCTCCGGCCTCTGGGAGCTGTTGCCTCAGTAGTTGGTCGATGTGTTTCTGCAGAGGTTGACCGTCGTCAGTTGACACTTCATAGGAGACTAGGGCCTTGACTTTGGTGACTCGGCCTGCGATCCAGGGAGGCTCGGTCTCATAGTTTCGGATGAATACAGGGTCCCCTGGAAAGAACCCTCTTGGTGCTTCGCGCTGTTAGAACCCTCTTGGTGCTTCGCACCTCCTTGAGGCCAGTGCCCAATCTGGGTGTAGCCGATCCAACAGAGTCGCCGGGCGCCGGCCCATCAGTAGTTTCGTGGGGCTGTGTCCGGTGACGGGGTTAGGGGTTGTCCTCTGAGTCAAGAGGAAATGTCCCCTTTGGTGTAGTGGTTAAGTGTGCGGACTCTAATCTGGGAGAACCGGGTTTCATTCCCCACTCCTCCACTTGCACCTGCTGATGTGACCTTGGGTCAGTCACAAGCTCTGGCACAGCTGTTCCTTAAAGAGCAGTTTGTGTCAGAGTTATCTCAGCCCCACCCACCTCACAGAGTGTCTGTTGTGGGGAGGGGAAGGGAAAGGAGTTTGTAAGCCGAGACTCCAAGTGAAGGGTGGGGTATAAATCCAATCTCCTCCTCCCTTTAAATGGCTTTTGCAAGATCCCCCCCTTCCATTCTGCTGGCCTCAGGGAGCCTCCGCCAGAAGAAAGGAGGGAGGGAAGATGCATGAACCTCATGAACTGAACCAGTTTGTGAACTTCCCACAAACTGGGATGGACCTCCATTTTCCCGGTTTGTGCCCATCCCTAGTCTGGAGAGTGATTTTTTAAAATACATCTTTAATTCTATCAGTAGAGAGGCAGTGACTTTGCTTGGGCAGCATTGGATTTAGGGTTGAAACTTGAAATCTATTGAAGAGTTTGAAAATAGCTGCTGAAGTTTTTGCATGAAGGAGTGTTGGATGACGAGATTAGTGACTGAGTGATAAAAAGAAGCTGGGATGTCAGTGAGATATAGTTAGGATGACAATGGCTGGGGCAGAGCTGGAAGTTTTTCCTAGGAGCTTGAATGAATCAAGTTGGGGAGAGGAGAAGTTAGGCAAAGTCAGTAGCCTCAATTATTTTATAGCAAGTTTGAGTCAATTATTCTTAGCCAGAGGGTGAGGGAGCTTTGGAGGTTTGAGACAGAAGATGTTTTATCAATGTACTACATACAGCAGTAGAAAAGAGCAAGAGTCCAGTAACACCTTAAAGACTAACAAAATTTCTTCAGATACAGAATATGAGTCCATCTGTCCTTACATGTTGGAGAGTGAAGTGATTTCAGATGCCAAATGACATTAGCAGGTGAATGACAATAGTAGGCTTGATTGTATTAGGTGTGATATGCAGATATGGATAGTAGGTTTGGAGAAATCAGCATTGGTAATGAGACAGGAAACCTAGGTTTTGATTCAGGAGGATGCATTGTCTTGAGCTTCATTATCAGTTGTGATCCAGCAGTCTCTCTTGCTTATCTCCCTTTGAAATTCCTTTGTAAAAGAACTTCTACTTTTAGGTCAGCAAATGAATGTCCTGGAAGGTTAAAATGTCCCCCCCACTGTTTTTTTAATGTTGTGGTTTCTAATCTCAGACTTCTGTCCTTTTATTCTTTGTTGTAAGAACTGGCCTGTTTGTCAAGCGTAGAGGGTGGAAGGGCATTGCTGACACGTGATGGCATAAATCACATTAGAGGATGAGCAGGACGGGAGTATGAACCTGAGATGGCATGGCTGATATTGCTGGGTCCAGTGATGGTGTTGCTAGGTTCTACATGAGAGCAAAATTGGCAACTTGGTTTGTTGCAGGCCTTGGTAACAGAGTCCATGTTACTGAAGTACTTTATCACTGTGAGTGAGAAGTTGTTTAAGGTTAGCAGACTGTCTGTAAGCAAGAAAAGGTTGCTGCCCCCCCCCAGTGCTCGTGTGAGGGAAGTGTTGCTATCCAGCATGGTTTGTGGGTTGTTAATAATACATTGGATGGACTTGTGTTGTGAGCTGTATGTGACATAGTTACATACAGCATTCCAGCAGGTGGACCACTCTATTTTTAAAGTGACAAGGGGAATTCCTGCCAGTTCCAAACCTCTGAGGATCTTTATGGATTAACAGCTACAGGGTCCCCATGGTGGGGGGTCTTGTAGGTATCATAGCCTTCCACCCAAGTTGGGCTTATTTCTGGTCCTGGAACCCAGCTAGGTAAAATGGGAGAGGAATAACAGAAAACAGTCAACAGGCAGGGAAAGGGTTAACTTCTCTCTAACCCTGCAAACACTCCTCCTGAACTAGCTTTATAAGACAAACTTGAGAGTGGAACCCTGTGTTGCCTCAAAATTAGTGGTCCTGCCTTAATTCCAATGTAAGCAGTGTGTCTTAAATGACTGTTAAATATTAAATTTCAATAGGATTAAGGCATGCCTATCCTTAATCACTATTGATCTTTCTTTCTTTGCCAAGATCTTATTCATGTGTATATCATCTTTCTGGGTTATATATTTTAAGTATAGCTAAGTTTCATAGAAAAGCTGTATTTAGTACTACTTTTTACCTCTTGGCAGACATTTAGCTTCAGGTATGGCCTGCCAAGTCCCATTCAGTCACTCTTTTCCAATAACATCAATGGGATCTAAAATGATAAATATTGGTGACTGAAATTTGCCCATTGTAAATGTTTCTGATGGTGCTAACAATAAGGTTTGTACCATTGGGTTTAGATGTAAACATTCACATAAATGTGATTGAAATAACTTTAAAGCTATTTTGATTTCCCCCCAAATTATTTATGGTTTGTTTATTTAAAATCAGAAAAAACAGGCATTTGATCCTACTATACATGATAGTTGTAATCCTGCTGAGACCAAAGAAATAGCCTTCTATGCTGTAATTATGTTTGTTTTGAGTTTTTAAAAAATTGCATGGTTTTATCTCTTTGTTTTCATTAAATTGATTGTCCCAAAATGTACATGGTTGTTTTCCTGTGTGTGCATACTACAGGATAAAGCAGCCACAGAAATAGTCTCACAGTTTTAGTTTACATCTACACTGGAAACCATTGCGTGGTTTTGGAAGCAATATCAAATATAATGCATTAGCCACAGTTGGAAATTTCTTTGACAGTGCATTTTATTCGGGTTGTAACAGGAGTGAAGCGCTGAAGCTAAAATATACATCACTGTGGGCTGGAGGCTATTTGCATCTGTGAGGCCATACAATGTCCAATGATGATCAGGACTTTTACTCCAAGTTCTGGAAGCTGTTTTAATAATATAATTTGTGTTATGGATTTCTGATTTATAGCATGGGAAAATACATTGGAAAATAATAAACTGTTCTTCTTTTTGATAGGTTGTCAAATTGTTGAGCAACAAAAGATCACAAGCAGTTGGGATATTAATGTCCAGTCTTCACTTAGATATGAAAGATATACAGCATGGTGAGTGAAATAAACTTTTATTAGATTTTGTTCACGAAGATAATTTCATCTTTTTTGTACTAAAAATCACACAGTAATTAAAAAATAGCACAGTATGGAGAATCAGTTGCATATCACTGTAAACCCTTTCCGCTTGAAATTTGAGGGCTTCGGGAGTACTGTGCTGGGAATGTTTCTGTGTGAATCCAAATGAAATTAATAGGGATTGGACATCAATTTCATTGACGTTGTTGAATCCCTCATGTCTCCTTCCAATTTAGAATGAAGTGTAGTTGTTTCCAGCATACAAGAAGAATTAATAGAATTAAATACTTGGTGCCTTTCACAATAATTCCATCTTTCTTTTGCACCAGCACCCCAAATAAAGACACAAGACCACCATCTGGGTTTAACTAATTTATTTAAATATCAGATCTGTATCATACTTAAATATGCTGACTGAATATTTAATTAGGGCAGATTGTACTAAGGCTGCCAGCCATTTTGTTCTACTTTTCAAAGGCTGCCTTACCTGGCCTGGCTTCAAACTCAGCCAGTGGCATTCCACTGGTCCTGCTTACCCTCACCTGCACATCATGTGCTGGGGGGTGCTAAGCCCCATACCCTTCCCCGATGCACCATGAGGCCATTACCTGGTTAAATATGATGTTGCTCAGCACCAAGGCTGCTCCTTCCTCAAACCCCACTCTGCTGTAAAGCTAGTGATGGGCTAGTCTAAAACTCTCTCCATCTATGATGCCTGTCCAATCATCCCTGTCCATTGTGAGCAACCGGCCAATTTCTTGCCAAATCAGTTATAGGGATGGGCATAAACTGAACCATGAAACAAAATTTGCTACAAGTTTTGCTCTTTGTGGTTCGCAAACCAAAGTTAGTGACGGTTCTACTGTCATGAACCACGGACATTTAAGGCAGTTTGTGATGCTTCGTGGATAAAGCAGAAAACAGGGATTTAAAGGGACTCTGAGTCATGGGGAGTGCCTCCCTGCTGCTTAGCTGTTGTTTTTTTTTTGGGGGGGGGTTCTTGTACAGTCTTGGTTTGTGCCCATCCCTAACCAGTTATACCCTAAATAGTCAAACCAGGCCTTTCTTTCTGTCCATCTGTTTTATATGTATTAACACCCATATAACCCCAGGTCACTGCAAAGCAGGCAAACAAAGGCACCCCCACAGCCAATTGGGAGAGCCCAAAAAATTCCTGCTTGGCCCTGAAACTGGTGAGCCCATGATGTTCCAAGAAAGAGCAGGTGGGTCAGCAGCAAGAGGGGAAAGCCTGTTGAAAAGGGGCAAGACTTTCTTAAGTGTTCCTCAGCTTGTGCTTCCCCAGTTGTCTGATGCTTTTCAGCAAGCCTGTAGTCAAAGCTGGGCTTAGTCAGTCAGTCATTTGCCAACCAAAGAGAGCCACTGTGCAAAATTAATGAGAGCTGCTGCTGTGAAATAATTGTTTCCCCCCCTCCCTTTGCAAACTTCTTACCACAGTAAAGTGGAAAATGGCCACTTTATTACTTTATAGTGATGGATGCTAAACTCTCACCAAGGTGCCAATGGACAAATTGCTCAATCTATTGACACACACTCCCCCTGTCTTTGTTAACAGCAAATTAGTGGACATCAAGGAGAATTTTTTTAAAATAAATTCTGGATGTCATAGATATAACAGAAAAAAGGCCTTGCAAGCACTGTGTTGGGAAGGGTGACAGAAAAATATGGATTGTTGGTGTCTAATATTTGTAGCCCATACTGTGATAACAGTGCCAAAAGAGTGCAAGCCATTGTTCTAGGGGGGAAAAAACTAGGCATTCTTTGTACCTTGTTTTCCTCACAACTGGAATCTTGTGTTGATTTATTTATTTATTTATTTTGGGATTTATATCCCGCCCTACCCGTACGGCCCAGGGCGGCAAACAAGCGGCAACGCCGGAAATAAAACATAGGTTACATTAAAACATCAGTAAATACAGACTAAAATGGTGCTCTACAGTTCATTTTAAAGTTCAAGATGGTAGATGTCCCCCACTGGCGGCCGATGGTGTAAACACATGAGCGCCAGAATGATGTTCCTCTTCTGGGCGGTGACTGCCCCCATCCAAAGCCAGGTAGATGGTAAATCAGCCACGATGGTGGTATAGTGGCGGCGGCTCCTACTCAAAAGCCTGGCGGAAGAGCTCCGTCTTGCAGGCCCTGCGGAACTGCACTAGGTCCCGCAGGGCCCTGATCTCCGCCGGGAGCTCATTCTACCAGGTAGGAGCCGCCACCGAAAAAGCCCTGGCTTGATGTCCCGGGGGCCTGGAACCTCGAGGAGGTCCAGACTCCCTGATCGCAGCGCTCTTGGGGGAACAGGATTTTTTTGTAATATTAAATCATATTTATGCATTTTTTTTTTCTGGAGCAACATACTGCTGGGAAGCAGCCCCACAGCATTTGCCCAAACTGATCCTAAAAGCTTTGTCTCAGACATCTTGGAGTGCTACATCTTGGAGTGAGAGCCAGTTTGGTATAGCGGTTAAGAGCATGGACTCTAATCTGGGAGAACCGAGTTTGATTCCCCACGCCTCCACATGCAGCTGCTGGTGTGACCTTGGGTTAGTCACAAGTTCTCTCAGAGCTGTTCTCTCAAGAACAGTTCTCTCAAGAGCTCTCTGAGCCCCACCTACCTCACAGGGTGTCTGTTGTGGGGAGGGGAAGGGAAAGGAGATGGTAAACTGCTCTGAGACTCTGAGTGAAGGGTGGAGTATAAATCCAATCTCCTCCTCCTCCTTCTTCTTCATGTTGGAGCAGATGCTGTCAATTCAGTTTTGTTGCAGTTGCCACAACTAGTCAATGCATTAGAGGTACTTTCTCACGGCACACATCTTGATTATCATGGATATACACAGGCAAAAAAGGCCTCAAGGCATTCAACAGTTAAAAATATAATACAAATTAGTACATATGTATAAAACCAGAAAGATTTGGACTGAGATACTTGTTAGTGGATTTAATTAGTTGTATCAAAGATTTAACTCTTTGTTTAAAAACAGTGATGCATTCCTCAGTATTAAAAATAAGTTTTATTTCTTTCTGTTAATTTATGGCTACTTTGATCTGGTGTTGATGAAATTAAATTCTGTTTTTTCTACCTGAAGTTTCCAAATGAACATCTTCAGTACATTAAGACCGTTCAATTGCTGAAGCTTTTTGGATGGATGTGGGATGGCCTCCTCACTTTCAGTGATGAGAGTAGAGAAACCTTTCCACAGACCTTGAGTCTGAGGTTCCTCCAGATTGATATTTGTATTGCTTTTACACAAAAGATACCGATTTTCTTGAATGCCTACCAAATGAAATCATGGAAGGCATATCCCTTCTTTCTGGTTTCATACAAAGTAATACAAATAACTAAGAAAGGACAATTTAGTAAGATTTCTCTTTACCATAGTAAGCAAATAGAAATAGAAAAGGGGGTGGCTGAAGAAGAAATGGGAGGTGTCAAATGGAAGATGTGTAGACTTGCCATTCCCTGGGGGGTTGCCCACTTTTAGGGTCCCTGATCCGCCAGCCCAGATCTGGCCGGCAGGGGGAAACCCGCTCCCAAAGTGCTGCATTTGGGCCAACGTGCCTGGCGCAATGATGTCACCTAGAGGGGACATCACGACGTCGGACACGTTGCGGGAGGATGCTCTATCATTTTGAGGAAAAACTCTATGGTTTTTCCTTGAACAATAGAGGCCCCTCCCACAATGTGCCCTGCATGATGACATCACTTTTAACTGATGTTATTGTAGCGCGTGCTAAGCATGCATGCCGAAGATCTCCCAGACTGGGATAAAGACCCCCTCCCCGCCAGCAGCCAAGTAAGACCTGGCAACCGTAAAGGGGTGTGGTTGGAGGAAAAGGGACCATACTAAAGGGGAAAGGGGGCCAAGTTGTACTCCTTTGCCCAAGGTCCACACAATCCTGAAATCGATCCTGCCTTCCAGCCATCCAATCTTCCCTTCATGCTTCATTTGAATTAGGGGCAAGGGCAAATAGATCCACATCCTAACTGTTGTGAATACCTCTTTTTTTAAAAAAACACAAGGTCTCGTTTACCTTTAAATACATTGTATTTAGCAATAAATACCTTCTAAAGGCTGACTGATAGCATAACCTTGAAAGTTTCATATTAGGAGACATCTTTGAAGGTGTCTGTAATTCCTCTCTCCCCATTGACATTAAATGATGGCTTTGCATAAAAGGTGAAAAGTGGAGTTATATTTATATAGAGTGTTCTTCATGCCTCCTAGGGTCTTATAATAGATTTAAAGCAGATGGAATGGAGCTGTGTAGTGCCAGCTTACCTATTAAATAAATATGGTTTCAAGTACATTGCAGACTTAATAAATCATGAAAACATCTTTTTGACTTTCCTAGCCTACCTATTTTAATTGTGGATTCTGTTTGATATTTTGTTGAATGAATTACACACAGGACAAACGTTGGTGTGCGCTGTCAACTTGTGAGTTACTTTTAATCACAATTTAAGCTTTTATTAAGTTGTTTTCATGGTTACTAAACTTCCTCAAGCTCAAGCATTTAGGCTGGTAGTTACAGATTGAGGCGCCAGTACTGGCGCCAAGAAGTACTTGGTATTTCTAAAGCTGGCAGATGTAGTTCAGTTAAGTCATAGAGTGAAATCTGAAAACAATGATATGGTCCTTTCCTTCAGTCAAATATTCAGCTTGGTTTGAGCTAATAATGAGAACCTTATGAACAAAGGAGTCCGCCTAACATCTGTGTCTGTGGTAAAGCCAACACAAGTTGATTGAAAATTTGCTTGCTTAACATGCAAAGCTAACAATAATATGGCATGAATGTCAGTCGTTGAAGGGGTCAAGCGATGCTATGTTTAACCTTTATCCTATTAGGATTAAGTGTATGTAATTGTTCTGTCCTACAAACTCTCGCATAGAATTCGTATTTTTATCTTCATTTTCAGTTTGATTAAATGCATTTATTTTGGCATAACTAATATTTTCTGA